TCGTTGCCGCCAACCATTTAACATGGTTTCTTTTCAGATTCGTAGTTTCAATTGTCGAATATAAACTGAATAACATAAATTAATACTACGTAATTAACCAGTTACAACGTGAAGCCATTTTTAACCCCTAGGTGAAATGAAATTATTGATGACACACGTCGACCCTAGTTGTTAGGCACGTTGACGGTACCGGGACACAGAAGAGATGGGTGGTCTCACACGGACGAGTTCGCCTCGGCTAGTGCAAGAGTGTGGTTTCCAGCTGGTGATCGGAACTTCACTCGGTGGACGGCGTAGTAGTGCCCTCAATCTGTATGTGGACGGCACGAGGATACTCGATTCGGCCGTGGGAGGAGGGGGCGTGTAAGTCTGCTGATCATAGTGAGTTCTAACTTGACCTCTTTCGTGTCCTCTGTCCTGTAGTCTGTGGTGGGGAACGGTACCGGTGGCATCGTGGGGGTGCGTCCGAGGCTAGGGTCTCGGTCAAACACACGATCTGTAAAGTGGACCTATCATGCTATATTTGAAACATATATTGTAGGGCCATACCTATATAAAACATGTCTGTGAAGTCTTTTTTTCAAAATACCAAACAGATCATGCATTTTAGCCACGCCTCATTTCGCTCTATTTGCTCTTTTCCAGCCCTGTTTTTGCAAGGGCTGATTCTGCTTTTGTGGCAGACTACAGCGCCACCTACAGGCCTGGCACATGTACTACAGCGTCTCCAGCGCTTTCGAGCGGTCTCTCATTCCCCTGATAGGTGGAGAGTTGCCCATATAGGCGGAGCACCCCTTTTCTGACGTCAGAAAAATTCAAATAATAATCAGCTCTGTTGCAGCCCCGTTTTTTGAGATTTGGGTATGGAGGAAAAGAGAGAGGGTTGTGTTTTCTGACACTTGGTGAGTTCCCTGACACACCGGGGACACATATTCATGTATAAAAGACGTACAAAAGTGCATTTTGCATGATAGGTCCCCTTTAAGTAAAAGTAGAAGTGTCAGAGAGTAGGAATACTCGGTTACAAGTAGTCCTGCAATCAAAATGTTACTCAAGTAAAAGTAGAAAAGTATTAGGATCAAAATATACTCAAAGTACCAAAAGCATTAATTGTGCAGATTGGTCCATTTCAGAATAATATATGATATGTTTTATGTTTATTGATCATTAAAGTGTTATCAAAGCTGGTAAAGGTGCAGCTAGTTTGAATGGCTTTGTATACTGCAGGGTAGCTTGTGAATGTACTCCATGTGGAACTAAAGTCTGATTTAACACTTGATTATATTTCAAATAATTTATCAAAATCTGCAAAGTAACTAAAGGTATTAAATACATGTAGTGGAGTAAAAGTATTTACCTCTGAATTGAAGTGGGAGAGAAGTACAAAGTGGCAAAACATTGAAATACTCAAGTAAAGTACCAGTCTCTCAATATTGAACAGTACTTGAGTAAATGTACTTAGTTACTTTCCTCTGGATGGTTTTGTGTTCAGGCAGCTCAGCCCGAGGGAGGAAATGACACAATCCTGCTGAAGCTGTTAGAGGGGCTTTTAATGCAAACCAGATGTGTGCTTTACAACAGAGGAACAATGAAAAGACATAAAAACAAACATGTTTAAGCAGACTAATGGATGCTGCGTTTAAATAAATCGCTCATCAATGAATTAAAGAGGTGTGTGTGTCATCTCACAGTACCGATAACACTGACACCGCGCTGCAGCACCACGTTTCCCTCTTTTTCCGGTTATTATTTAATCTTTCTGAATCCATGAGACAATAACTCGCTACTTACCACGCAGATGCACGTCACTGTGGCCAATAAAGGGCTTAAATGTCTTCAGAATATCTGCATTTTTCACTCTGCCTGAGATGCCTCCGGTGCAGTAGAAATAATCCAGCAGCGACTCTTCACTCACTCCACTCATCTTTACTTATCTCTGTAGCGGATGAATTTCTGTTTTAAATGGAGTGCCGTGTCTTTAGACTTCGGGTTTTTTCACTCCATAATGCTGAGTCCTGTTGGCTAATTTGTTGTAGTACATATCTAAAGTTCACTCCACCCAAACGAGCTGACCGCTGCCTCGCCTCCTCCTGTTAACCCTTTAAAGACTCCACTTTATTCTCACACTTCACCCTCAGCGTTAGTTAAGTCTTTGTTTGTTTCCCGCTCTCAGTTTACAACACTTAAGCATTAAGCTGTGCACGATATATGCCTACTCCTTTGGCTTTTTGTAGGTGATCGTGAAAGTCTCATAATTATACACTATTAAAAAAAACATTATGTTGTGGTAGGCTAGTTAGCTACACGTATTTATACAGTTAACTTCTCAAAATGTAAGTTTAACACTAACAGTAGACGTATAGAAATGGTCTGATACATACAAGTGAAAGGACAGCTGCATAGCCTACAAATAAATATACAAGTATTTAGTATTTAGTACTATTTAAAGCACCAATGATTTTTATTAAATATACATTTTATTGGTGATACAAAATAGTTATTTTGTGGTAGGCTAGTTAGCGTTAGTATTAGTTATCTTCTCAAAATGTAGACAATACAATGGTGGAACAATTAGGCTAACACTACAGTATAGAAATGGTCTGTTACAAGTAAAAGGACAGCTGCATTCAAAAAATATATTGGTAGGCCTATATGCTATTTAAAGTACCATTGATGGGTTTTTATTAACTATACAGTTCATGAACCTGAATGTCTAATAGTCACTAGTAGCCTACTTAAAACTGTCAAATACAGTGAAATGTACAATATCTGCCTCAAAATTGTACTTAGTAGGCCTACGGAAAAGAACACATTTTGACTATTTATTAAACGTAAATAAGGCTTTAGCCAATTTTAACTCTTCTTTGTTTGTGTGTTTATTTTTCCCTTCAATGCTGATGTTGTGGATGTCACATACATGTTAATTGTTAAGATGTTCAGGTATTCAGGTCAGTTATTTGGGAGAAATTTGTTTATTTGTCTGCCGTGTTCTCAAAAACATGGTCCGTGTGAGAAACTTGACCTGACAGAGCAGGGGGACTCCAGACACTAGAAAATGTTAACATGGCTTTACAGAAGGCCAACGCTAGGTGAAATGTATATACAATAATATCTATTTTTACATCACAATTAAATTAGAAAAAAGGCGAGAAAAACGTCATTTTCAAATGCCACTGACAGATAACCGACTTCAATAGCTTTCTATAAATGGCAACAAAAAGCATAATTGTCCCAGCCCTGTGCTTCCCTATGATTTCCCCCTGAAAACAGTTTCCGTTGTGTTGTGAGCTTCAGGCATCTCTTTTCTAATAGCTGTGCATTTATCTTCAAGATGATGCTTTTGTGTATGTAAAAAAATGGTGATGTTGTTTCTTATTTTCCTTGTGTTGTGTCTTTTTTGAATGCGTTTTCCTCATTTGTAGTTTGTCGTACTCAGGGCCGTCGTATATTTAGATCACAAGTTGTAAACACAGGCCCCCCACAGAGCCCCAATTCTTGTTTCTCCCCCCCTCTGTGCACACCAGGGGGCTTGAGGGCCAGTCATATCAGGTATTAAACACAAAACATATTGTCAGATTATGGATTTAAAGATCATTTATTGTCATTGTGCAAGGAAGGGTTGCACAATGAAATGCATTTGTGACTAAAAGGACTTATGCTACACACAAAAGCATTGACAAAACCGAAAAAAACAGTTGTAATGAATAACTGAAGTAACGTTTTGAATTTGCGACAACAGAAATGGAAACAAACCAAAACAATTATGTAATATGACAGGCAACTTTAAAGTTAAACACATTTGACAACAGGGAAACATTGCCCGTCATATTTATTTAATCATGTATTACTCGGGTACAAGCGGCCGAGATGGGTTTTCTCCGCAGGGTGGCTGGTGTCTCCCTTAGGGATAAGGTGAGAAGTTCATTCATCCGGGAGGGACTCGGAGTTGAACCGCTCCTCCTTCGCGTGGAAAGGAGCCAGTTGAGGTGGTTCGGGCACCTAGTTAGGATGCCACCTGGGCGCCTCCCTAGGGAGGTGTTCCAGGCACGTCCAGCTGGGAAGAGACCAAGGGGTAGACCTAGAACCAGGTGGAGGGATTATATCTCTTCGCTGGCCTGGGAGCGCCTTGGGATCCCCCAGTCAGAGCTGGTTGATGTGGCCAGGGAAAATAAAGTTTGGGGCTCTCTGCTGGAACTGCTACCTCCGCGACCCGACCACGGATAAGCGGGAGAAGATGGATGGATGGATGTATTACTACAATAATCACAATTTATTTGTATTCCACTGTACAATATGTAATGGTACATTCTGTTCTTGTCTATCTTATTCAATTTATATGTATATAAACTCATGCATGACTTGGTCACTTACAACATTATCTGCACCATTTATCTTATTGTATATTTTCTGACATGTATATAGTTTACTTAATCTGCATTACTTGCACATTGGTCTGCAACATAATCTGTTTTATTCTACTGTTTCTTCTACTATTTTAGTTTTTAAATTAGTTGTATTGTTTTATATCTTATTTTGCATTGTTGGAGGAGCCTGCTGAAGATTTTCATTGCCTTATAAACTGTAAATATAACAATAATGCCATCAAATTTGAATCTGAATTTGACATTTTAGCATCAAAAATCATTGAAGACCGCAACCCGCAGCCCCTCCCCATTAATTTTGTTTGTGCTGTAAATATTAAATGTGCCAGATTTACATGTTAATCCCTCTGTCCTCCTCTAGCGCCTCTTTGAACGAGTTTTCATTTAATTTAGAAATGGGCGATTTGTATTTCATGTTTTAGGTTGCTGCTCTAAGACGACAATATTGTAATTACAGTAAGCTTCTTATAAGCTGATACAATTATTGAGGTGAGGACTTTACATTGTCCATTGAAAGTGGGACCTTATGCTCTTTCAATTTAGAAAACAACACAACTTTTACCAGGATCGAGACATTTGATCCCGGAGCATATGCCAGGTCTTTGTGTAATGAATTCATGCCAGAGAGCAGCTGGCAATACATTATCACCTTGATATTACTGTCAGGGAAAACAAACCAAACAGAGGGGGCATTAATCTGTCAGGGCGCCCAAACAGACCTGTGGTGGGAGAGGAGAACTCGGATATTTGAAATATTACTTATATTTTCTTTTTTCAAATCTATATTTCACGAAAACGCTCTGTTATTTAGAAAATCCTTTCCTTTCATAACTACTTTTTGTAGCTACATTTCAGTATTTAAAGGGAAAGTACTCATTCTGCAGTACATTGTTGATTGTGACCGATATATTAGATTGTAAATACTAATGCATATACTATTGGACCATAGCTGATCAAAGTAGAGCTAGTTATTGTTTCTTAAAGGGGACCTATCATGCAAAATGCACTTTTGTACGTCTTTTATACATGAATATGTGTCCCCGGTGTTCCAGGGAACTCACCAAGTGTCAGAAAATACAACCCTCTCTCTTTTCCTCCATACCCAAATCTCTAAGAACGGGGCTGCAACGGATTTGATACATGTGGATTCTGATTTGCACCTCTATGATGTCACAGAGGTGCACTCCGCCTGTATGGTCAACTCTCCACCCATCAGGGGAATGAGAGGTTGCCGTGGCATGGCAACAGCATAGCAACAGCATGGCAACAGCATAGTAACATGACGCTTGTGCCTCTCCCCCTCCTTTGCAGGGGGGGGGGGGGTCAGCTCCAGCTCATGCAAAGACAGAGCTGGAGTGAGGCAAAATGAGGCATGGCTAAAATGCATGATCTGTTTGGTATTTTGAAAAATAAAACTTATAAATATAACTTATATAGGTATGGCCCTACAATATATTATTCAAATATAGCATGATAGGTCCCCTTCAGCCTAGGAAATCGGCAACATTCAAAGGGTCACAAGATAAATATGTGGGTTGTAATATGACCACGATGGCAGGAAAGAAGAAGAAAAAGATCATATAATGAATTCATATCAAGATTGTTTTAATGTAATTTGAATGTGTATTAAAAAATTCAAATGACTATCCAGGGTAAGATACCCTTACACTTCATATTTACCTTATTTTGGCCATTTCATGTTGATTTTTCTTTCTTTCTATAATAATTGAGTGAATGAATACATAGTGTTTTCGTATTGAGCCATTTATATGACCCATTCCTCATGAGATTATTTAGACATATAAAGTCAAAATGGACCAAACATCCGGCCTGTTAACCCACCATCACCTTATAATAATCGTTAGAATAGCTTTATTTTGAAAGAACCTTTCCAAAATGACTTCTAAGTGCAAAAACAAATGATGAAGGTACATAAAATCCTAAAACATTAATTACCAACTACAAAAGATACTAACAAAAAAGCCCATATAAAAGTGAGAATAAAATAAGAACATAAGAATGTGATAACATCAGGAGAATGGTGTTTAGTTTAAGTGGAAAAAAAGTTACTATTCAGGAACCTGGAGTTGACCATTAACTCAATCTTTTTGATCTGGTGATAAAACTGAACTGTCCACCATCCCTGTGTTACAAAGCGAGGTCTAAACATCCCATATGGATTTCTCTGTGTGTCTAATACTATTTCCTGGGTTCCATGAGAGCAGAAAGAGGGACCAGATGTTCTTGTGAAGGTCAAAGCCTCCGGTCTAATGGCGGTACACGGCTCTGATGGAGGGCAGATGTTTGCAGGGTTATCCACTCCATATGGCCGCCACTCGTCCACGGGCCTTTTCACAGCACAGCTCTTGTAAACACGCTTTAGTTCGCTGTTCTCTTTTTTCTGCCCCTGTAAAACATGTCCTAAATCCAATCAACTAGTCCCTCTAAAGGGGATGATGTTGATGAATGGGAATGTGTAGTGGTTGTAGTGACCTATAAGCCCTGCTGAGATTACAGGCAGCCAGGCCGGGGCTCCAGGAAACAGCCAGAGCTTAGAGAGGGATTGTTTGGATAGACAATGGTGTCTACCTGGTTTTAATCCCCGCTCAAAAAGAGTACAGGGGATTGTCAGCGTTTAATAAATGAAAGTGCTCGTATAATCAGGATTTGTCAAAGTGCCCCTTTGTGTTAATCGGACATTTTTTACAGCATGGTTTTTGACATCTGCCACAGCAGGTGGTGTTAACCTCATCTCTGCCCCATCTGTATGCAGTGTACATTTACACCAGACATGCAGAGAAGTGCACACAACACAAACAAACAGGGAGGGTATGCAACGTCTAAATATTTAGCATTTTTTTAGAGGATGCAGACAAGTCTAAGTTTCTCCAATGTAAAGCCAAAACAATAGTTTTGAAATCCAGAATTGCCAACTTAAAAAAACAAACTTTAAATTCACAACATAGATAGCATTAAACCACATACCCCTGAAAGTAATATGGGATGCAGCCATAATGCGGCCACAGCTGACTTTGGCACAACCCTATGGCTTACTTACTAAAAGGCTAATAGAGCACAGATGTGGAATTACTTCAATGCTAAAACAGAAAGCTGCATTTTTATAATTAAAGTTCAGCGTATCAGTGATAAAGCATCATAAAATTGTTTTAAAATCGAGGATTACAACAGTAAATCCCGTGGGCCAGATGTGAGGGTGGGAGGGGCTGTTGCATTCTGGGACCAGATTAAACTGAAAATCCCACAGGACCGCGCTGTCTTTTCTCCGCTGCTTAGAGGCTTGTGTGGACTCAACATGCTGTAATCCACAGATTAGCTGATATAATCACCTGTAAATACACCTTGGCCATGATGTCGCTGCGTGCCATCAGCCCTGCATTACGTCCCTCATGTGTGTTGGACACTTTGTTTTGGAGACGGGTCAGTTTTTAACTTTCTGGGAAGCAGAGGCAGACGCTCGGACCAGACAGACAGCTGGACGAGAAATGTGATCCGAATGAGTTCCCAGAATCTAAACTGTACAGATGATTAATGTTCAACGTTAACTCCTACCAGCTGCAAGAGTCAATTATTATATTTCAGCAGTAGCCTGAACCTTAATGTCAAAAGGGCCATTCTGCTTTTCTCGACATACATTAATGACTTTTTTCAACTTATTCTCGTGTCGCTTTCTTTTAGACATACCATACATTGAAACAATGACTTTTTTGGACAAAGTATTTCATGACTCTTTTTTTGAAATATTATACCATTACGTTTTAAGACATTACTAGTTCCTTTGACATTCGATACTATGACTTGAACATAGGAATATACTATTTTATTACCTTTTTCGACACACCATACTATGAATCGTTTCCACTTTTTTCGACATACTATGACTTTGTTTCTTTTACATTTTACATATTTTAAATGACAAGACCTGTCAACATGTTAAACACTGAACAAAAATATAAATGCAACACTTTTGTTTTTGCTCCCATTTTTCATGAGATGAACTCAAAGATCTAAAACTTTTTGTACATACACAAAATAACCATTTCTCTCAAATATTGTTCACAAATCTGAAAAATCTGTGATAGTGAGCACTTCTCCTTTGCCGAGATAATCCATCCCACCTCACAGGTGTGGCATATCAAGATGCTGATTAGACAGCATGATTATTGCACAGGTGTGCCTTAGGCTGGCCACAATAAAAGGCCACTCTGAAACGTGCAGCCCTAACCCTAACATGTCACCCATTGAGCATGTTTGGGATGCTCTGGATCGGCGTATACGACAGCGTGTTCCAGTTCCTGCCAATATCCAGCAACTTCGCACAGCCATTGAAGAGGAGTGGACCAACATTCCACAGGCCACAACCAACAACCTGATCAACTCTATGCGAAGGAGATGTGTTGCACTGCGTGAGGCAAATAGTGGTCACACCAGATACTGACTGGTTTTCGGACCCCTCCAGACCCCCCCAATAAAGCAAAGCTGCACGTTTCAGCGTGGCCTTTTATTGTGGCCAGCCTAAGGCACACCTGTGCAATAATCATGCTGTCTAATCAGCATCTTGATATGCCACACCTGTGAGGTGGGATGGATTATCTCGGCAAAGGAGAAGTGCTCACTGTCACAGATTTTTTCAGATTTGTGAACAATATTTGAGAGAAATGGTTATTTTGTGTAAATAGAAAATGTTTTAGATCTTTGAGTTCATCTCATGAAAAATGGGAGCAAAAACAAAAGTGTTGCATTTATATTTTTGTTCAGTGTAAATCCACTTCCTTTCCCTGAACACATTTGTTTGCAAACTGCTTTTAAAACATGACAGACAAGAGCAGTAGGACCAGTTCATGTTTTTTTTTAATGCTTAATACAATTCAGTATGTAATTATTCCCCTAAAGTCACTCCATTGCAATGGATTAAACAAAGAGGGATCAAGTATTTTAGCATTTTTATTCTGTAAGACACTTAAACACGTCATTCCTGAAAGAGAAAACGCATGATTTTGGTTCATAGCACATTCATGCCTGGCGAGAAAAAAAATATTAAGACTACATCAACACATTTCTTTTTTTACAAATCATGGAAGCAAAACAATATAAACAATATCTTATATATATAAAACATAGCAGGCATAATAAATATTACACATAAACAAAAAAAACTAAAAGTAAACAGTTAACCTATTTGGTTTGGGCCATGTTTGGAATAAGGTTTTAAATCACTGAACTGAAAAGCTGAACGTCAGTTAAGTAAATCTCCTGGGAAAAGTTCAACTGAATATCCAACCCAAACTGTTTTTGTTCAATCTCTCTAATAACATACACAGGTAAAGTTTTTAGATTTTCCTATGACCACGTTGTTTCTTGTGACCCTTGTGTGTGTGGTTTTAATACCTCAAGAGTTTTAATGAACACTCAATCTGATTTATTTAGTGCAGGACATTCCTCAAAACAGTTTCTCATATTCAGTCATTGTTTTTAGGGAAATCAACTCTCATTAGTTCAACATACCAAATGGTATTAGTATAACCAAAATTAACAATAAAGAAGGAAGCCCGCCTGCGTGTTGAAACATCATGTTTTGTACCTTTTGGGTACACTTTTCATTCATTTTTTGGGGGGTGTGTTAGCGTAATCACAGGAGATGGGAATCCGTTTTTTTTCAGTCAGGAATCAAGGACCACGTAATCATTCAAACACACTCACACACACACACTCACACACACACACTCACACACAATCAGACACAAACAGCTAACAATACATTCTAATCCATTGTATGACTGTAAATTCACTCCTTAGTGATTCTTCTACTTAACATAGATAACTGTGCAATTTCTTTCTTTTTTTTTAATTTTTTTTTTTTTAAAGCAAACCAGGAGTAGTATAAATATTAGGAGAACGTCCTAGGTGCTGTTTTTTTATTTAATTTAGCCACGTGTAGAGAGCATTTTCAAGACGTATTGTTCCTCTCTTTGACTCTGGTGACGGAGAAGATGCAGGATTCCCCCCCCCACAGTCAGCCTTAAGGTCCCAGCCCCTATAATGCTACTTCCGTTGCAAAGTGCAAGCAGTTAATGTCTCTCCGCCTCTCCCTTCCCTTCCACTCGAGAAATTCGGGAACCAATGCAACAGCAAAGAAAGGAAAATGTTCAAATACAACAATGGTACGGTCAGTGTCCAAAAGAAAGCAACCAGAAGGGAGAGGGCAGCAAGAGAGAGTGCATTTGTGTCTCAAGAAATTCAGTCCATCGAAGCAAGAAAAAGTGTTCCTTATCACGTCCACGTGCCACTGATCAGCTGATTGGAAGAGTGGTTACACCTCCCTAGAAAGAAAAGAAAACAACATTAATACACATATCCACTAACGAGAATAAGCTTCACTTTCTTTCAAACTAGAGATGTTAAAAAAAGAGAAGATTGATATTGATTGTTAGAGCCAGTATTTTGTTTTTATAAGAAAGGCTGTGACGTCTGTAGTCAAAGTACCACCAAAGTATAAAAGACTACAATTCCCATGGCGCCTCCTCTAAAGTGACAGTGATGGGCAACCTGCTAGAAAGATGCAGTCGAGGAACAGTTTTTAACCGTTCAATTGCCCTTTAAGTTATCAAGCTATATAAGCCTTAACAAGAAAGAAAGCAAGAAAGAATAAGTTGTTTGTTACTTTATTTGAGTTTTGCCTACTTGTTTTTGGACTATTGCAAAGGCCTCTTTTCTTTGTTGCTTGTGTACAAGTTTGTTATTTTATTTTGAGCGAATCCATCGCATAATATCATTTAAACCATCGGAGGCCAAGCAACTCATCAAAACAAAAAGATAAAGGAAAGAAAACAAATAAAAAATGTCTATTCGAGGCGTCTAGTGGCTTGGTAGAAAAATAAGGAAGGAAGCCACGACATTGATCTTATATTGAACCATTCCTTTTAATGTGGTAAATCTGTACATTGATATTACAGAGGTAATGACTTACGATGCAGTGAGAGTGGAGTTGAGGACCAGAGTGGTGCGTATCCTATACAGCTGAGCGAGCGTCAGCTTCTTGTGCTGCTGGACCGGAGATTTCCTCTTTTTAGGCGACATCTCCCCCGAATCACTGGGGGCTGTTGTGTCGTTTAACCTTTCTACGCAGGCAGGTGGCGCCGTTTCCCCGTCTGAGCTGTTGTTTTGGGGCTCCTCACACTCACCGGGGGGCGTGGCCTGCTTCGCCTCCGCTCTCCTCAGGGTGGTAAAGAGTTTATTTGAGGTGGCGCTCAAGCAGCCTTCCGACCGGTCGATGTCGGTGGAAAACATCTCCTGGCAGTTTTGTCCGAGCTCCGTCAGACTTCTGCTGTGAGCCAGCGGCGATGCGACCCTGCGTTCTGATTGGTCCGGCCCCTGAGAGCTGGGTGTGTCCGTTGTTTCGGTTTTACCGTAGAGGCGCTGCAGCAGATTGTCCTCGGAGCGGGAGAGAGTCAGGGTGGAGAGCCTCTGGAGGCAGTGGAGTCGGGGCTGAACGTGAGGCCGCCGGCGGGGTCTGGAGGACTGGATCACTGAAATCTGAGACCCTAAAGAGGCCGCATCCTCCTCTTCCTCATCCTCCTCTTCTATCTCATCTATCTCTGCCTCCTCCACCTCCTCCTCTCCTCCTTCAGTCTGGCCGGGCTGAGGCTCTCCCAGGAGGGATTCGGGGGAGAGGGTACCGTAGGCGCTGTCCATGGAGAGGGAGCGGCTCTGGGGGTCCGTCTCCTCATCACAGTAAACACTGGAGTGAACTCTGAGAGTGGACTGCTCGACCTCCGACCTTTCAGAGAGGGGATCCACGTCCGAGTCTTTCTCACCGGACCCCTCCAGGTTCATGTTGGGGGCTGGGGGCTGTTCGCTCGGTTCATCGATGTCCATCACTGACAGGGTCTCAGTGGAGCCATCTGATTGGCTGAGAGGAGAGACTTGGTTAGTTAACTGGATGTCACTAACACACACACGCTCAACAAGTCCTTCTCCATCCAACACACTATAAACAATACACCATTAAAAGAAGTCTATAAAACTAAAAGGTAAAAAGAGACACATCGGGGGTCAGTATTCACGGACAATAAATATATATATACACAAAAAAAATTATTTGATTACTTTGATTTATGCCTATTAGTGAGTTTTAATGGGGGTTGATTTGTTCCTGTTCCTTTAGAATAATATTTAGGCCAGAAGAAAAAAAAAGTTTGAAGTGAGTAGTATAGTTTTGTGAATACATCATGTTATATGTATAAAGTTTTGTTTTCATTTAAAAACAAATGATAATATTTTTGGAAGATTGTAGTAATTTTTCTCAAATGATGCAATCACATTAGCATCCATCCATTATTTAATACAGTTGATTAGTAATATGCAGTACCTCGAGCTCTGCTGGTTTTCGTGCCTCAGGCAGGGGGAGCTTGAGTTGCTGCTCTCATCTTCCTCCTCCTCCTCTTCCTCACCCGTACACCTCTTCTTGCTGCTCTGCTGCCGGAGAACCTCCTCCGTACGCAGCCTCTGGAGCTGGTTCTGTGGGGGGAATAAAACCACATTGAGTTGGGAAACAACATCAAAATCTCTCTGAATCTGATTTGCAAGCTCCAACAGTCGACAACATTTAATACGATATGAGGTGTCTCTCTCACCTGGACGTTGCAGATTGCATCGATCCAGCTTCGCCCCTGGGCGGCGCTGTTGGCTTGTAAAGTGTAAGCTGCCACTGCACTCTTAAACTCATTGAGGTAGATGAGGATGAATGAGCCTGCAGGGGCAAAAGCACAACAAAACAGGATTAGATCTCCAAGGGTGTACATTGAGACGAAAAGGTACACACTTGAAGTAAAAGGTCAGTCAGTGATCTCCAGAGATGGAAATGTAACTCATTTCGACTATATGTTACGTATACTTGTAATCCATTACATTTGCCTGACAGTTTTTGATTCCTAACTGAATTTCTCACATACATCACATAGATTAAACTATAGCCTACTATGACAAAACCAACAATATTTAAAACAGTTAGAACTAGCAAAACCCTTCACATCTACAGCAGTAAAACTCAACATGCACATGAATGCACTGTAGGGCTGTCCCGAATACCATTTTTCGGGCTCCGGATGTTCGGTAGTAATCAGCAGCAAATATTCGAATATTCGGCCCGCGGGGGGTTGACGCTTCAACACGTGTATTTCGGTGTATTCACGGCATTCATTTTGTTATACTAAAGTATTGTTGTTTTATAGTTATTTGTTAATGTATAATACCCAATTTGTGTTCTTTGAAATTGAAAAGGATATCGCATTGTGTTTGTTACTTTCGTTGCAGTTGTATATGTCTTAAGTGTAATTTGGCTTCGCTTCCTATTTATGGACATGCTTTTATTTTGAAGGAGAGGTAGCGCTGTTGACAGGAAGTTGTTGTTGTTATGGAAACAACGTGACGGAGATTAACGGAGAAAAGTAATATCTACATATAAAGACGGAGAAAGTAAACGACAACGTTTATGGTTAAGTGTTAGCATCCCCCGAAGAGGCACAAGCTCTTACGTTGATATTGGAGATTTCAATAAATTCAATTTTTAAAAAAAAACGGGGGGGAAAACGAACAAAACGAATATCCGAATAACGAAATTGAAAACCGAATAGTACTCCAACGAACGAATATTCGGATACAGCCCTAGAATGCAGTGATATTTATCCCAAAACATCACATATAATAGTAAAAACAATGACAAAGAAAAATAAATATTCCAAAAATCCAACTAAAGTCATTTGAAGATTCTTATAGATGTCAAAAGTGTCTGAATTAGTCTGAGCACTCACCAGGGTCTTTGAGCTCCTTACAGACAACGTTTTGAATGAGCAGAGGCTGACGGATTATCTTCACTTTCTCCACTCTTTTCACCGACTTGGTGATCAGCAGCAGGTCAGTGAACAGGACACAGTGGACGTCCATCTGCAGGGAGATACACTCACGTCAGGTCGGACAGAAATGTCATCCTTTTAATGTGAAATGTGAGGCGAGAAGCCAGATGTTGAGAATGAAAGATAAGAGGAGCTCGTGGTGTGTTTACAAGCTGAGAGTCAGACTTACTCGGCTGTCCTTGCCCTCTTTCATCTTCAGCGCCCCCTCCAGATGCAGCTGTCGGGTCTCCTCCGGGGAAACTCCTCTCATGGGAGTCATGAGGTCGAAGCGGTTGAACTCCTTGAGGATCTGACGGGAGAAAAAAGACAAAAAGCATGAGGTCAATCCTTACAGAACGTCTCGTATCGGACTGAGCTTTCCTGAAGAAGGAAACGTGAGAAAGCCAGGAGGAACTGTAAATAGTTTCCTACCTTCTCCACCTCCTCACTGCTGCCCTCCACAGCCTCGTAGGAGTCTATTCTGGCAGAAATGGTGGCCAGATTCTGTTGCTCCTGGCGCTGTCTCATCTTCGACTCCACGCTGTTGATGAAGCCTTCCACCGCCGCCACCTAGAGGAGGGGAAATCACAAATACACGTTGAGATGTTTTTCAATAGTTCACATTCTGTCATGTGGATGTTTTGGGTTTGGGAAAATTGTAACTCTTAAATATTGTTGGGTAGTTTAATCTGCAGCGATGCATCAAAAATAATCATGTTTGTAGTGTCCTTGTCCTGAGGGAACAACATTTCTCTGAACATATCTGTTTTTAGATGTTGTGGTGCTGCATTTTCAGCCGGTCCCAGAGGGTTTTTAAATAGTTTATTTAGCTTAAGAAGTAGGACCATTTCTTCAACCCACATTTCATCCTTGCAGTTTATTACAAATATTTAAACTCTGAATCAACACATTTGAAGGTGAATGATTGAACCTAGATAGAAAGGCTATATGAACAAATGTAATCAGTTTAGTAACTAAAACTGTCAGGCAAATGCAGTGTAGAGTATAAAGTGTAGAATTATAAAGTGACATAACATAGAAATAATGGAAGTATTCAGATCCTATACTTTAGTAAAAGCATCATATAATACTGTACAAATACTTAATACCAACAAGTGACCAATCCTGTACCGAAAGTGTATTTAGCTAAAAGTATGTAAGTGTAATTAGGATGATGTATGAAGTATTTAAACGTAAAAGTACTTATTATTTAGGTAAACTTAGTTCAGGGTTCATACACTTTTTCACCAATGACTTCTCCATGACCTTTGCCTCATTTTCAATGACTAAAATAATTACTCTTTCTCAGCGGTACCACTGAAACATTTTTATTTTAACATGGTAAGCTGGAAAATAAGATCTGCATATGAAACATGTTGAGCCTATCTAAAACAAATCAAAGAGTAGGCTTACTCGCTCCTACAGACTAAAGCACTGTAGACTAGAGGGCGTGATTGTAAAATTCTCTCACCAGCAAAATACCTCGACAGTTAAATGACATTTTACGTTTCATTACTATACGATACAGTATTTATTATCGTTATAGTATTACTATTTCGGCGATTAAATACAAATAAAAATTATATTTGATGCAACTTTGGTTACATTTCCATGACTTCTCCAAAAAATTGGGAAAAATATTGTTTCCCATAACTTTTCCAGGACCTGGAATTTGCATTTTGAATTTCCATGACTTTTCCAGGTTTTTAATGACCGTAGGAACCCTGTTTGTTACATATTAATAATGTTCTTACCATGCTGTTGACTTTGTCCCGTGTCGACGGGTCGTCCGTCTTCTTCAGGACCCTCGTCAGCAGGAGGGGGTATTTGGTCAGTCTCTGGTGAGGCTTGGCCAACATGTCGATCAGCTTCAGGCGGTTGCACTGCTTATGAGTCTCTGCCCACTGAAGAGGTAAAGAAGACAGGAAATCAGACATTTAATGAGGCATAAATATGTAAACGGTGTTTACCGTGAGTATCTGGGATTATCTTAAAGGTTCTTTTATTATGCTATTTTTAGGCATATTCTATGGCTCTCAGATATATAAATGCTGCCTTGATTAAATGCTCCAAACCACATCAAGGACTATTTCTGAAACAGTATGGAGCTCAAATGCTTTTTCTCTCTCAGGTTTACCACAAGGTGAGTTCCTTTTTTTATTTCCTGTTTATTTTACACATACTCTCTCCAGTACAGGTTAGCTCTGAGTGTTAGCGATGCTCGCTAATGTAAACAAAGACCATATTACGTCCAAAACAGTTGGGCATTGTTTCTGATAGCAACTCTCTGTGGGTCCACCATCCGAAATTACGTCATATCGGCAGAAAATCTGTATCAGCTCGTTGTACCCCCGTTTTTAGAGATTTGGGTACAGAGGAAAAGAGAAAGGGTTTTATTTTCTGACGCTGCGTGAGTTCCCTGGGGACACATATTTATTGTTATGTNCTGAGAGAACAGCACTGCAATCAGTCCATCTCACAGGACTATGTCACATTTGAAGGAATAATTGACAAGATCTACCTCAAACAAAAACAAAATGTTTCATTTATATGAAACATTTTGTTTTTGTTTGAGGTAGATCTTGTCAATTATTCCTTCAAATGTGACATAGTCCTGTGAGATGGACTGATTGCAGTGCTGTTCTCTCAGCTTGCATACGTTTTAGCTAGTGGTATGAACCCCTAAAAGAGAATGACTGCTGTTTAATGGCAAAATATATTTAGCCAACAAGACAAATAAATAACATCATGTACTGAATCATTATCTATTAAGCTGTACCTTTACCTTTGGCACATACAGACGGTTTTCCAACGTCCCTAAATGATTATCCAAAGTGACCTTGTGTTGCTGCAGCAGCATGTTCTGTCCAGATGCCATGTCAGCACTGCAGTTGTTGACAGAGGTTTAGAGAGCGGCCATCTGACGGCTCGGTCCAATTACAAAAGTGCTTCCCAGACATTTGAAGTCTGTCGTAGCATGTGGTTGCAGATTTACATGTGGTAATTGTGATGATAGTGTTTTAATCATAATTAAGTCCACATGCATGAGTGGATGTAGAGCTCTAATGGGGTTGCTTTTTCATCAGATCGGAAAACTGGGGCAGTGTAGCTGCGCAGGAGGGGGTGGAGGAGGGGGTAACTGCTTGTTTGTGGAGACCTTTGGCTAATAAATAACTAGCGTGTTTCTCACTTTGGTTAGCTAGGAATTCTTTTGTTGAGACAGATGTAAGTGGTCGCTTCCTTTTGGATTTCCTGTTGTTGAGGCGAGTCAACTGTCTCACTACAAATGTTCTTTCCGTCCACATCAGGAAAAGGAAACACTTCAATTGTCCCCGAGCCGCATGCCCATGTTCACCTCTGCATGAATGGCATACCTTCGCCTGGAGACATTCCTTGTGTTGCCGACCTGGCTGCTTCACACACTGTGCACATATCTGCTTACCGCTGTAAACAAAGGGAGATAGCGTTATCTGTGGGGATCTATCAGCTGTACTTGGTCTGGTTCCCGCAGGAGAGATTTACTGTATGTTTAAGGGACTCAGGTTCTAGCCTTTAGGGATGCACTGGGATCTGTTTGGATCTTTGGGAGGGACATGTTTGTTCTCACTGCGGCAAACATCTCTCTGCAATGTGAGCTGCTTTTGGCTTGGCCAGCTGGATGTTTATTGACCTCCTTCCTCTCAGAAACACAACTCAGCAACTCATCCTGCAGACAGTAGCTCCCCACACACACAGATCGATCGTAAGCAGACGCCATTACAATCTAGCTGCATCTGGAAATACTCCGTGTGTTTGTCAGTAAATCAAACTTAATTCGAGCTCTTTTTATTGCAGTCTATTTCTGTTTCCCAAATAAATAAAAAAAGAGCTGAGTTTGTGGAATATTTCCCCCCGTATTTGCCATTGTTTGTTGTGGGAACCACTTGTGTTTGACTGAATGTGAGAGATACAAAGCTATATTTACAATGTAGCTTTAACCTCAGACATGTTTCCCTGCAGCTAAATACAGAGAGGAATTCAAACTCATCATCGACCGAATCGCTGCGGTGAAGTCAGAGAATGTGAGTGAACTATTTCAATACTATTAACTTTCGTGGAAAGAGCCCTGCTCCCGTGTGGTCTGTATTACTATGTCAACACCGTGGCATAAACATGTTTGCTGCTATTACGAGGTTCCTGTTAAACCGTCATGACTTAACAAGGAGTTCTCCAATCTTTGTTTTTAAAAAAGAAACTCTTTGTACCCACTGGATTCCCCAGAGGGAGTGCAGCTGCAGTTTTCAGTTTCCTTGAAACTACTTTGATGACGTATTAACCAAATCAATGAAACGTTTATTCCATTGAACCCTTAAAACTGGTCGTGCCACAATTTACGGGCAGTTAAAATACCCCGGCGTGGATGTGGTCCGTCAAGCTGTACAGATGTGAAGTACGGCAGTTTCTATTTGAAAAAGTATGACGTTTTTCCTCCAAGAAAGTTCCATCACCTCCTTAGAAATTCTTTAAAATACGTCTTTCCTGTCATTGACGAATAACCGTAATATATGCTTATGTGGATATTGTTCGATTACTGAAGTTTAACTAACACCTAAACAACTAAATATGATCGAATAAGCCATTTAAACCAACATGAATGTCTTCACTGTGAACTTTTTGTATCTTTTCAAATACATATTGTCCTAATTGCCTCTGTTGGTCTCAGGGTGAGAAGTATCTTGTCCTAAAGAAGAAGTACAGGCAGATGCTGCAGGATCGAGACGCCAGACTTCACGGGGCGGACGGAGACGCTCAGAGAGGTTCGAGTCCGGCCCGCGCTCCGGCTGCTGCTCAGTGGGACGCCTCGGACCCCTCCACTTCTTCTCATCAACAGAAGGACCCGCGGGACGAGCCCATGCTGTGTGGAGAGCAGGACGAGGCTGCAGAGGTGATCTTACAACCAGCTTCTATATCTCTAAACACACTAGATGATACGGGACAGCTTCATCCCACCGGCCATAAGACTGTTAAACACCTGCACATCCATAACATTCATCTGTTTGCAACTTATATCAATATATATGTCATAACTACACTGTAGCTATGCACACATGACAACAAAAGCCTTGAACCTTGAATCACAAACACCAATTGGGACTCAAATACTAAATCTGCTCTCAGCCCAGCACACTGTGTTTACTCTTCTTCTGAAAGACGCATTTATTGCTAAACAAGGCCATCGTTGTTAGTGTCCTCTGCCTTTCCTCCACACTGCCATGTGTCTGGGTCACAGAGGAACACTGGTACGTATCTAAGTTAGCCACTATGAAAGCACGGGGCGGTCAGAAGGCTTATGTCTTTACATAAAGGGCAGAGCTGTTTCAAACTAATGCACAGAAGCAAAGGGCGGTTTAATGCACCATAATCCTCTGGTAGTACTTCTACATATTGTTCCTGCTGTAAACTTGAGCATTTAATCACACATTTGAAAGATGAAATGTATTTTGTGCAGCTGTTTTAATGTACTGACACATTATTTGCTCAAACAGGCGTTAAATCAACATGTATCCACACCCAGAAGGTGCTGGCAAAGTGTCAGCTAAATGTCCTCAGATCACACATTTGGATCTGAGCGATATATAGCACGTAAAGTCTGTTCTTGTGTTGGAACAGCAGACAGGAGCAGCCTCCATGCAGCACGCTGTTCTGCAACTTCCTGTCATCCAAATCCAGGAACCCTGCAACGAGGACGATGAGCTGGACAAAGATTCGGGGTCAAAGGTGACGATTTGGCAATGCTGGAATTTAGCTTATCCTTGCTTACATTACCGATGACTGTAGGAGTGGTAGTTGTATTTTGTTCGAGTCTGAAGCTATGAAATACTTTAGCAGCTGGAAAAAGGCAGAGATATGACGATGAGTCAAATAGTTCATCCACAAAAAGTTAAAGATCACCATTTTGCGCTCACATCTACGATAGCCATCAAAGCTATCATTGTGAATGACAGATTTAAAG